TTTTCATCCGTTTTATTAATAGATAAAGAAATAATGCTCACGGGAATGGCATATGCTCTATACAACTGTTGATATTTAATTAGCTAGTACAATTCTTATTGTTTGTATTCCATAGCTCGAGCTCAAGTCCTTTAAAAAAAATAACTGTTAAAATTTGATTCTACTAACAAAAAAAAAATAGATAAAAAAATAATGCTCAAGGGAATTACATATGCACTATACAGCAGTTGTTATTCGGTTCGGCAGCTATTTTATTAGTGTTTACGAGTCATTCCAAAAATAACCAAGACTCAGCGACCAAGTCATTATCCTTGTTTATGTGTATCAAAAAGCTATTCGTTTTAAGGACTCTAAGATATAATTGACTGTATTGATTTCATATTGTGCGATTCTTAATATGTTTTGTGTGGGTGTTGGTGTTGATATGACTTCGAGTTTACTTCGTATTTGGATGACGGATGTTTATTGACCGACAGAACTGTTCCAAAACCAGGATCTTCAATGACTTATTCATTAATCAATGGTCCCTCTATTTTATAGTAATACATGTGATATTAAGCTTGATATTGCCATATACGTTTTTCTGTTTTTCCACGTTTAAAAAAACCTCTATTTTTATGCTTTTCTTAAGGCTTTGACTTTATCCACGGGTCCATTTATCTTTCTTAGATTTAACTGCCTTTGTCATGCTTTAAAAGTGTTTTTACTGAGCGACGTTTTCGGCTATGAAGAATTACAATTAAAGCTCCTATCCAAACGAGGTATTATTCTCAGCTGTTGTTAATGTTGTATAATATTGAAGTTACGAAAGTATAGAGAAATCCAGATGAAGAATTGCTAGCTCTTCTATAGTCTTCTCCGATTCATAAATTCAGATCAAAACAACTATTTTCCCTGTGACGTATTTCCAAAGTACGCGGAACCTAGGAACCTTGAAAAAACAAGTTTTCTTTATATATAATATATATTATATTTTTATTTTACTATTTTGCTGAAATTTCAAAAATAATAAAATCTATGGTAACTACTCTTTCTTCTGTTGCTATAATGCTGTTCTAATGAAAATAAATTGCTATATTGAGACATAGTAATATTCGAGTGGCCGTTGCTACCTATTTATTAGGAATGTCCAGATACACTATGACCTTCAAAACACATGGTCAATACTGTACATCGCCATGGCAATGGCGCCGTCCTTGCAAAGAATGCCTCGAAATATGATCATAATTTGAAAGAATATATAATGCGTGCGTTCAAATAAACACTTTATGACTATGATTAAACTGTATTATACCTATCAGTGGCATCAAAAAGAAATCATAGCTTTTTTTTTTTTTTTTTTTTTTGAAAAAAAAAACTTTTTTTTTTTTGTTACAGTGAGCTAATGACCCTTTTTGAAGTGTCGATAGATTAATACGACATATTTCATAAGCACAAGATTTTAATCAAGGATACTACCATCAAGGAGTTGCACTAATGCAAAGCACTATTTAAGAATTTAAAGACTGCTAATGAGACTCCAAGTATATTCAATATACCGTCGATGTATATAAAAGGTATGACATTAAAACTGATCATTATGTTTGGGCAATACTGGCCACGCTTGTGCTTAGTGATAAATAACTCTTCTTCTTGAGGCTAGTGGCTGTGATAAAAGAGTTGAT